TTAGCAGGCAGCATGAGCTGAATTTCAGGGTGTCTAAAAAAGCATAGGTCCTTTTTCCTGTAGTCTCTCTGGGACAGCTAGATGTAAGGTAGAGAAATTAACTCTTAAAATCCAGAAACTTACCACATAAAAATATAGCTTCCCATTACCCAAATGATCATTTAACTGCAATTTTTCAGCCATCCCTTCTCTGCATGTCCTGGTGATATTTCCCTTGGTTCAATATTGTTTCTAGTTTGAGTCAGGCTTTTGGTTTGTGTTGCCTCCTCACTTATCGTTAAAATTACTGACTCCAAACACGTACAGAATGCAGGAACTCTCTCTGTTCTCTCTTTCCTGGCCTTTTTATTAAAGCTTTGCATAGCTTTTAAGGCAACAACAAGGTTTTTTTCTCTCTCAAATCACAGCTCTGTGCTGCTTCATCTCTGTATCAGAAGACCTGGCACTTCTCAAGCAGTAGCTCTTCATTTCCTAAAGGGCTGCAAATTCTTATGAACACAGTAGCAGCCACTAATGAGTATGTTTTTACCCAGCTCCTCGAGATGGCAGATACATTTTTCAGCTGATTTTCTGCATCTGTTCCTACAAAACTCTGTCTCCCATTGCCCTACTGAAGAGATTTGGATAAATCCTGTAAGGGATTGAAAAAGAAGGCACAGATGAGAAGGCATTAAACTCACTTGTCATCCATTGCAGCCCTCTGGAATGGCACAGATGCTAATGATCTTATTTGCCTCTAATCCTGGAAGTGCCCAAACTTGGGGATGCCTGCTCAAAATCATATGAGGCCGTACCTCTGCTGTGCTCTAGGGTTTCAGGACACAGGCCTGAAAAAACTCCAGGCTGCTCATTAGATCAGACACATTCAGGAGATGTCCCAAGGCAAAAAGAAAGCTCTGATTTTTGTATTCTGAATCGGTAACCACTATTGAATTGCCAATTGGCAGAAGATCCAAAGATTCACAATCTTAATTCCCACAGTGTTAAAATAGATTAGATTATTATTGTGTTTTGCACATCTGTCAGTCGTTTCAGTCATGTTATGTTAAAAACCAGTTGGTTACAACAGAATACTAAATACCTTATAAAGGGCTGCTGGCCTATACAGTGCATATAATTATTGGTGCAGTAGAAAACTATAGATAATTAAATATTTTTAAATTATTTCTTCATAAATAAAAAATTTTAAAACTTGTTTGCTTTCTCACCATCTGGGAGCATTCTGTTATCCATCTGCTTCATGTAATTATCAATAAGAGGGAAGAATAGGTGATATAATTAACAAGAGTAACTGATGCACAATGAAGAATGAAAATGTCACACATCTGTTGAATTATTTTCTTGTTTCTGCCCTCATTATTATTCATGCTATTGTTTTTATTTTTTTATTTCATTGCTTCATTCAGTCTGCCAGGTTATATTGCACAGTTCAGAATCCTTTTTTTTCTGCTGTAGCTTGTAAAAAGAAGATGGAGCAGTTATTAAGGCATTACAGAAGTCACTTTATACTGTTGTATAAATTTATTTTGAAAAAAACAAATACACAAGCCCAACACTTTCTCAGTTAGTTTTGTACTT